TACATATACATACATTATATGTATTAAAAACTGCGTAAAACAGGATTCAATCGGGTTAATTGTCTCTGATAGCTTTACTCTTGAATCATCTGCACAGACTTTTATCAACTTCCTTTTGTCGTGTGCGCACGAAAATGATATAGCTATATAAATTTTAACTAAGCAATAACAATTCTATCGAACTTTTTGATATGATCACGGATAGCTCGTCTGAGACAATATTGGCAATTATAGAAGTACAAACGGAAGAATGAAAATAGTGGTATGAAACGTACGTAAAGCAAGAGTTGAGTTGAGCACGAAGTTCCTCGATTGTAAGGATCGTGTCCTGGTACTGAGGATGAGATCCTTGGAGGCCATCGTCCACGCTCCCGCACGAACTATGGCAGGACAGTGAGATGTTGCTCCTGCAACCAAAAAAAGAACGGCAAAATTTAATACTGCGCCCACTGTTTTTCATCTTACTTAGAATATTAGCATAGTTTTTCTAGTACTAATTCTAATTACTTCTAATTTGGAACAGTCAGCCAAAAACACATTTATTTTATAGTTCTATTATCTCTTAAAGAATTTTTAAAAGACGATTTAAGTAATCATAATAATTAAGCACTCGTTTCTGCCTGTAAAACGATCTTCTTACGATCTTTCTTCAGTAGCCAAACGAATGTAATAAATACAAATTATTCCTGATACGAACGAACGTTTTTACGTAATTGTAGGAAAAGTTCCGTTGAAAAACCAGAATCGATTTTTCTTTCATTTAGTCATCGTTACGTGCGGCCACAGTCTACGATGAATATAAATCACTTGCACAACGAGGATAGAAACGTCGTTCGTTGAGAAAATAATCTTTTCCGTTATTCCCCATCATTAAAAATACCCGGCGCCTCTTAAGCCGAATGTAGACAATACTGATTCAGTAAAATTCCAAGAGACGGTGTTATTAACGCGAGTTCGCGATATTTCGCAGTCGATAGCGAGGAATTTTATCAAGAAACTTTGATTAAACAATTCACAGACCGATCCGAAGATAAATTAAATTTTTTGCGATAGAACCGACAAAAAGTCGAGAACGGATCGGATTGAAAGAATAGCCTTGAATACTTTCGTTCATCAACCCGGAAGCCGACAGGCCGGGGTTATTCTTTTTTTTCCTTCACCAATGGTCACGTTTTTTGTGAATAACCGTTCACGTCAACGGGTAATCGGAACATCTGTTTGCTCAAGCCATGTTCAAAAGATAAAAGCTCCTACTTCTTACACCTTCATGCGTCATGTTCGAAACTGTTGATCGAAGTATACAAGACGATCAAACACATATGAACTACTTGCGTTTCTACATATAATGTATCAGACGTTATTAGTTTCATATATGTATATACGTTGTTAGATTAGTAGGGAAAGAACCTGAACAACAGATCTCAATTCACAGATAGATAAGTCGATGAAACTAAAATAATTAATTTCATTATCAGATTTAGAGTCGATGGTCGATTAATTTTCACGCGATTGTTGGCCTCAGAAAATGAACTTTTGATACTCGCTGTACGTACGTAAATACATATGCTAAAACATGCACATATGGAAATCAGGAAGAAAAACGTTCCTTTCACGTGATAACAACGTGGACGGAGAGCACGTAATAAGCGGTTCGCGCGAGTTGTGCGCTTGTGTGAAAGAATGACGCGTAAATCTCGGAATCAGTAAACTGGCGGGCTTTTACCGACGAAACTCGAATGTGTGCGTTTCATGCATAGAAAAACCCAAGAAAAAACCGTATAGTCTGGAAAGAACCGGAAAACGGTTGTCTATATATTATGTAAAGAATGCGCGGTTCGGTTCGTCGGCATTTGAGATGACGGTTCATTTGAATAAAACACTCGTGATCAAACCTACATATGCATGTACGAAACTCCAAAAGTCAAGAGCATTGAACAAAAAGTGCAATCATCTCAGATGTTTCTTATTCACAAACTTCAAAGATTCTCCCGTGTTGACACACAAAAATACTCTAATTGAAATTGAATTTATTTTGTTTTTTTCCTGCTAACAAATAAAAGTAACGTTTACCAAACTGTTTGTTAGACAGTCTTAATTGAGCCTTTTCAGTTGTACCATTTTAGTCGCAACTGTATGTACGATGGTACGATAGATTTGAATTATCACGTGACGAGCGTATGAGAACCACTTACACGAAATTGTGGTTGATCAAAGATAAGTGAATTTAATTTACACTGTGACATGGTGTAACTGTCTCCCATTATTTAATAAAAACCTTAATTATATTTAATAAGGGCGATACAAAGTCTGTCCTGTCATCCATGTGGCAAATTTTCAATTGTTATATTTTATTAGCGAATACGAATTTGAATTTATCTAATTCTATCTTTCACTCTTCTTAAAATGCTTTAAGGTGATAATACAATAATATGTATAAATCAATTCAAGTAATACGATGAATCGCTACGCGTGATTCGAGTGACAACTAAGAAATTATTATATTTCTCGTCGATTAGCTATCGTTTACGTAATATCAATTTCGTGTTCAATGATACATATGTGTACATACATACTGAAAGTTACTTACTCGATATGTTCCAAGCTCCCAATTTTATCAAAATCGAGATATATATATTCAAATGATCAGAAGCATCGTATAAAATACACGCGATAACTTTTTTGCGTACGTTTACGTTTATCTTTCAGCTTACTTAACAGATAGATAATTTTCTTTTTTTTAGGAGCTATAAATCGTTCATAATTTCGTAATGCTCATCCGAAAATATGTAATCTTATTTTAAAAGAGCTTCTTTAATTTTACTTCTATTACAACTAAAATTAAGACTTTCAACTATCATTCATGCTTCCATTTATCTGCTTAAGTCAGGTCATTCTTTCTAGAGTTCTAGCTTTTTGTACAAGTGCAGTAATCTCGTAGCTGCAATTCTTCTGATACCTCTTAGAACAACTTTATAAAAAGAATTGTGTGCATTCACTCGGTATTGTTTTCCCACTTCGTAGATGCCTCTCTGTTCTACCTCCGTTTTTTTAACGTCACGGGTGCCTCGAGAGTCACATTAAACTTCTTAACGTATGACGTACGCTGCACGTTCCTCGCGTTTCTTTAGAATAGGTATTCGCGGCATTCGAAGAGACGAAGGAAGAATTACGTTACGTAGACGAATAAGACGCTCGCAGCTGCTAGCTAGTAGCACCGACTGCCCTTTGCACATTGTGCACATGGAATTAACTTACGCAGTTTGCACATCATTAAACGGGAAACAACGTGACTTTGCGGTAGGCCACAGAATAAAATGGATTCCCCTTTTCTCTGTTGCGCAGCAATTTCGAGAATTTCCTGTTCGCGTTTAACATTAATTAGACGCAATAAAGCTGCACGGCTTGACGTAGAATTCTAATTGCGCTAATCCCGTGAACCCACGAATTAAATTTGTTTACAATTACCAACGGAATTGTGTCATTTCTTCCCCATATCGAATGCAGACTTTGAACAAGTTCAACGCATTTAATAAATATCGCATGTTACCTCTCGCCACCGATGATAATGTCTTTTTTGACTTTTACATGAGATTAGCGTGTCGTTACGATCTGGTGATAATTAATGAACTTGTATGAAGCGTTGGATGTAAGAATCGCATTATCGGTCAACTTAACTGAGCATATTCATTATTTCGAAGTGAAGGCTACAACTGTAAAATAAAGTACTTTGTTATGTTCTGGAAACTTAAGTAATTACGCTTTAAAAATAGTACAACATAAATAATGGACTAAGTATGTTCTAAGACTCTAAGACATTAAATAAAGTGTACAATAAAATATTACCCACGAGAAATGACAGCCTTTAAGAAATATTTACACAATACTAATGTCTTCTTCAGGTATTGTTATCAGGAAATAATTTATTCCATTAAATTGCATAAATTATAAAAAGTAAAATATTGCTAGTTCACTAGTAGAACGGAAGTATTCAATTAATGGGTTGTTAATTTTTTTGCCATGCGGAACTTGTAAGAATCGATTACAGTACCGTAAAATTCCACGAAAGAAAACAAGGGTACTGGACTAAAGAACTTGAAGTATACTCTGAAATGTTCCACAAATCTAATTTCCACAAATTGTGCACTCGATATCATTTGACCGCAAGAGAATATAACATTTATTTAACTCTGTCCTGCAGCAAAGTCTGTCGGACAGCGAATAAAATAAAATCGTCAAAGCAAATATTGTGATCATGTAAGTAATGTGAAAATGTATGAAGGTTGTTATTCGCCTGTTCTAACCGTACTTTATTAACCATTCAATTTTCAGCCAATCGTGAAGCGCTCAATTATTGTTTGAAAGGGAGGCACGGTTCCCATCGGAGACCTGAAAAGCAATGAATTCACCGTCGACCTAAATAATTTAATTGTTGCTCGAAAGAGCGGTCGCTGCCCGACGAGTAAAAGAGATCCGGGTTCGAATCCCGGTCGAGGTTTTCTCTCTCGGCACTCATATAATCTCCACGTAATAAATTCACCGATTCCTACCATCTGCGCTTATATTTATTTGTAGAAATTTGTATCTTCAGATAATTCTATGCGTCTCGTGAAATTACAAAAATTGGCATTAGTCCAAAAAAAGAAGTTTTACTTATTTTACGATTACCGTAAGCTTCGCACAGCTCAGATATTACAAACGATCCTAAGAAATGCAGTCAGTGTATGACAAGATCCGTTGAAAAGGACAATTAGAATTGAAAGCACCATTCAAAATTTTCAAAAGAATTATCAATTATCTACAAGTGCTTCTCCGATCTGTCGTTCTACTTTTATTAGATTATATGAATTCAAGTGAGTCTCTTTTGTAGAGGGTTCCAAAATACATACTCGCTCCTCACAATCAGATGCTTTTGCATAGATGGACGAGGAACGATTCATGCTAAGTTATATAGCAAGAGTTCGCAGCTAGCTCGAAATAAACCACGGTAGAACAATGATATTGGTTTAAATCTGGCGTCTGTTACGATATCAGACAGCTCACCACTGTTAAAATCGTCCTTCATGGTTTCTCAGGCGCAATGGCGTAACCACAGTACTGGCGCCTTAACCACGTGTCCGAGTTATGCAAAAAGAACGCGACTTATACGAACATACACACGGGCACCAATAATAATTGCGCAAACTGGCCTTCGCGATTTTTCTCTTTGTTCCTCACCTTTCAAACTTCGCACATCTACATGTACATTATTTATTGGATGGAAACAAAGTAAAAAGTGCGAGTGTATATATTGTGAATCAGAAGAAGCAGATATTTTGCAATGGATATCGCCAATGAATTGGTGACGATAAAAGTAGATCGACCGGATAAACGAGGCCACGAGATTTCGAAGACGTATCAGTTTCTACTGATTGTGAATGTGATGCGTGCTTAAATTGGAGATGTACGATGTCGTGAACGTCTTGGAGCACTCATGCCCCAGATCGCGTTACTTTGAGCTGCACTAAAAATTAGAATAGAAGGATCGATACGACGTTTCAATGTATGCATTTGATAACGTCGTTTATTTTACATTATCAATCGTATGATTAATCTTTGGCAAAATGATTTTCCAAACTAAAAAAATTGAGAAAGTAACTCACCCATGGCGAGATAGGCTCTCGGTAGCTGGTTGCACAGTCGTAGTTACGGACATACTGCTAGTTTGATGCGTTACGACTGAAAGAAAAAAACAAGACGTATTAATTAGCGGTCTCGGTGAAACAAGGTTACGAGGAAGGGGGGAATCTCCGGATAGAGTTGCGTTAACAACGAAACGAAAGGCTCTATCCTACTGTTAGCGATGGAAAGATTTCCCTGGAAATCCTCTGATGGAGAGGTTTCAATTCAACGTGCATAGTCGGCGAACGTACGGAGCTGGTAGTATGTAGCACACGTGAACTGCGAAGGACATCCGCGATAAGTTTCACCGTGGATCTCTCACCTTGGCACGGAACGAGCACTTTTACTTTCTCCGCGAGAAAAGAAAGCCGAACGCGATCCCAATACCTAGGCACACGCTCTGAATCTTTTATTTTAACCAATCCGAGTTTTCACGCCGTAATAGATTGTGTAATCCGCTTTGTAACGTTTCTTACTTTCTCACTGCGACGATTATTTTTGAAACTTGAGTGAATAAATGCACCAGGAACGATGCGTGCAAAATTTTCTCATCGGACTTGAACAAGAAAGTCCGATAATCGACGTGGGAAGTACGTGGTAATAGCAACGATTATAAAACAAGGTCTGTCGGTATCGACACAAGGCTGCTAATGTCAAGGCTTTCATCAGTAATACGTTGGCAGTGTGTAGTGAATTTCATTATCAAATACCACAAGAATCCTTGATATATTCTTAAAGGAGAGAATCAAGATAGAATAATTGGTACACGCGCGTCGGATCCAAATCGCTGATCAAACAAACAATAACCATAAAAAAATATATCATCGTCAACCATTATTCCTAAAAAGTTTAGTTGTTCGAAGTATTGCACAAGTGTTACAAAACTATCGCGTATCGCCGGAAAGGCTATTGTAAAGATACGATTAGTAATGTCTAGTCAACACATGTAAATTAAGCCGTAAACAAGTAATTGTTAGATACACGTTAATAACTGTTATTGACAATATTAATTTTATGACACCGATTAAATGATTCTGTTCGCGACGAGAAGAGATGCAGAAAGGGACGCGAAACATAATCGCGCAGTTTGCAACGATTGTTAATGACGGCACGTTCGGCAGATCCGTAACGATACGCTTTATTTCATAATACATGTACATACATACATACATGCCCGCGATCGGCTTAACAACGAAGGAACACTACGTTGGGAAGAACCGATAAATATTTCTTTTTGACGTCATCGTTGTTTGCTGTAGTGAACTTTCTTATTGTATTCGCACGGCAAACACGCGCGCGCACATTGACTCATACGAATGTTTGCACATTCTTCACTTTCTGATTGCACAGACAACCGATGTTGCTTTTAGGAAGATCATCACAATGAAATCGTTTCGCTGTTACGTTATAGTTAGTTGGAGCATTTTTCTCTAAACTGTCCTTTCCTGAATCGACGAATTGTTTCTTCAAAAATGATAACGAACGCGTCAAATTTATCAAGAGAAAGAAGTGCACGTTTAAAGTTAGATTCGAGTTTTTAGTTCGCTTCAATTTGTTGGTATGTAGCACAAGGCTCTAACACAATAGAACTTCGTTAATAATGAAAAAGAAAACAAAGATGAGGAAGGGGTAAACAAGACATTTATTTATTCATCGAATTCCCACGTTAATAGCAGCGGTACCATAAAACATGATTGCTACGGTGGCATGAAACGTTACGCAACGAGTACAATTTCGCTTTCTGCCTAAAATAGAGGGAGGAAAATAGAATCGGGCCGCGATTGAATTTACACAACCAAATCTAGCCGAGAACAATGAAATTGGCTTTAAAATAGATGCATCTATCTATTAACAACCTAATTTTCATCCTCAAATACTATTTTTGTGTACATGTTCTGTACACGATCAATGAACCTGAATTTCATGCGCTATCCATTCGCATCCATGAAACATCTACTGCATTTCGAAGTGACTGAGTAAATTTCACGTGGAAAGAATTCGTCAGTTTTATAGCGATTTTTTTATCATCATAATGAAATCATGATGAAAATAAAGGTACTGCATATTTATGATTGTAAAAAGTACGTATACATATAATTAGAAATATTCTATTTGCATCACGCGTTCTTGAACGATTGCAGATCGAACTGAAAGGGTAATGCTAGCTAATTAAAAAGAGATCGAAGAGAGAAGTCAATAAGAGATATTTTCACCTGGCACTGCTACCAAATGCATTAGTAATACAATCGTAACTAGGCGACTCTAAAAATATAGCCGGATTATTTTTAACGCGAAGTTCCAAACAGAAGACCATCCCTTATTTTCTTACTATAGCCGTACCGTGCGTGGTATATTTTTAATTGTAGATTCACCTGAATCGATACAATTGCCTTTTATACATGATGTATAGAACGTGCGTTCACAAAGCAGTACATGTTACAATTTTTGTAACATCAATAATCAAGTAAGAAGTTTGAATTAGTATGTAGTACGTTTTAATCAGTATCATGAGTATATACCACACGTGACAGAACTGTATCGAACTTAACTTGACCACAAAGCTAATCGATTATCAATAGGCGATGTTCGGTTGAAGTGATCCCGTACGAGAAGCTTAATTACTTCTAAAATTTTCAATGGAACGTGGTTATGACGTGATGGATACGTACGATGACGTAGTAAAGAGTGTAAAGACTGTTGTTTATAGCATAGAGAGTGATTGAACATGCTGACGTGTTACGCATGAAGGATGTCATTGAATGTAAGCGGAGTTTGATCTTCTCTTTCCTACATCCTGCATAATACTCAGATCAGCAACCAAAATAAATTTCACAACGAGCAGCGATTTTTAAGCTGCAGTCTCATAAACTCGATTTTGAAGCATCGTGTGAGTCGAATAAAAATGCTCTAAAACTGTTTCCGTATAGTCTCGCCAATCGGAGGCTGAATATTCAAAAGGTATGGCAGTAGTCCGGTTGCTGTTTAAGGGATCGCAACGAATAAAAATCCGACACGTTAGCGTAAACGAGCCTCCAAGATTAGCCTCGGGATGCTTTCGCCTGTTTCGGGGCGTTAGTTTACGAGGAAAACGGGTTGGCGAACTGCTGGCAAACCTCCCGAGACGGTAGTACAGCAGCGGCACCGCTCTCCACGTGATTCCTTATTTTCATTTTGTCGGTGGACCAGAATAGGCGAGTCTTAAGAAAGGAGCATGCAAGTAGCAGACACACCGTGACTATGCGGCTACTGAACCGTCCTATATGCACATTCGAACTTCGGCTGCGTTTTCCGAAACTAGACGCGACTCTATTTCTAACAATGAATGTCGGAAATTCTAAAGTATCTAGAGGCTGTACTATTTTGGTGAAACAGAAATAAGAGAAAGGACGTTACGTAAATTCCTAGTTCCGTTTGGATAACTATTTCGACAATAAACTCTACTTTTGATGCAGTAGCAAATATATCTTCAGACTGAGTAGTGTTAAACTTAGGGAGAACAGATATCTTCTTCAGGATAATATAAAAATAGTATAGCATGCTTATTATTAAATATATTCTGAACGTTAAGTTTATGTAACTACTTTAATGGTCTGTATGATTTCTTATATTCTATTTTAGTTTCATTGAATTAATTCGTATTATGAAACGTCCAAGAACAATGATTCGCATCATGATAAGCCTTCGTTGAATTCGTTCTTCATGCATTGTAACAATGCATATTGGATTTTACTGACATTTGCAAGTGGCTGATATTTACGTCTAACCTTTGTGAGACAGCGTGCATTTATATTAAGCGATCCGAATTCGCATTCATCTCCAATTCCAGTGCACGTACGTATTTCGAGTTCACGCGATGACCGCTTACGGTCAGAACTACATATGTAGAGTGTTTGTATGTGACAAATACAGGCCGATGTCCATTACCATGTTCTACAAAATTTATCAGTCTCACATAATTGTAGAAGGGACGATTCGGCTAATTCTATTTTTTTAATTCATTGATTCACGTTGCGTTATTTCAATTGCCGCTTGCCTATACATAGGCACACCATAATATGTTAGTAATTGCCCAAGGGGTTAAATCGAGGCCAACAACCCTCGAGGTCGTGAATCCCCTGAGATGGAGGGAGAGGGAGGCTGAATTCGAGATATCGATCGACCTCGTCGTCTATTCTAGCTAAACTCCCACGCGGATGCGTGGCTACAGAGCGAATGCGGAATCAGGTCGACCTCAACTGCGGAACGCGGAACGGAAATACGCGAAATTTGATTTTACTCCTATGGAATTTTCACAGTTTTACTTGTATCACACAAGTGAAATTTCTCTGTTGCATTATAGACTGCGGAAATATTTCCATCAGAAAACAACAATGAAACATGTATTGTTTGTAGTATTTTATATTACTTGATCTGAACGTTTAATTAATTCTAAGGATTTTTGTTTGGTTCGATAGATAAAAGTATTAATCAGACAACTTTTTACAGAAGAAAAAATTATTTATTGTACAAAGGAAATATAAATTATTAGATCAGGATTTCGTGACCGAATGCTGATTATGTATATACAAATAACGATTATGTGAAACATTAAATATCGACATCATTCGCGTGACCAGAAAATAATGCGAGCTACGTTCCAGGGACTTTACGTAATTGCGATGTTTGAACCGCAGCGACATTGCAAGGACCTTCGGTTGCATAATAATCGAGCGATGCAGGAAACAGGCGCCATTCCCTATCTCAGTTAACTGAAACTAAATGTAACTAAGAAATCAGGATAAGAGAAACGAAAGTTTCACGACAGAGGGTTATTACGCGTCTTTTGCAAGAAATTAGCGAAACGTGAACCACGAACTTCGCAAACATTCATCAAAGTGAAAACGGCAAACTCAATTATACCATAAAGTACGGCATGTACTTAAGTGCTTTACGGTAACAAATCTGACTGCGTGACCTTCACAAAATTCAAAGTGGAACAGGTTGAATGTGAAGTAATGAGCAGAAATTATATTGAATCATGCCAATGAATTTGAAGCACGATTTTAATTAGTGTATTT